AAGAGAGAGTTCAATATACAAAGGAGGAAATAAAAATTATCCGTATTCAACCAGGTTTCAAGTATCCCTACCCTAGCTTTTAAAATTATCTCGCAAATGCTTCTTAAGAAATTACATTTTCATTAAAAAAAACATAGCTAGACTGTCAGGCAGGGATACTGAAATTTCGAAAGACTTCCTGTAACAACATAATTATAAAACAGTTACGTTCCACAAAATGCACATTCTTTGTGGTCGGAGTGATACATTTTAAAAAAATCTCAAAAATGGAATTCAGCAGAAATGTCTGTCTTCCAAAAATATTTAAATAACGAACATGTCAATTATTTTTGCATGCCCCCCCCCCCCCCCCGCCTCAAAAATTCAAATTTCTAGATGTCAATCTAAACGAGGGATGGCTTTTCTCTGATTTGTGTTAAAGAACGTATAGATGTACACTTAAAAATTTGTACTCTGATTAATTGCTTATAAGATTTGAAGTAGTTAATTACCGTACATCAAATTACTTGGTTTAGATTTGAGATTAGTACTAAAATAATCAGTTATAATTGACAAATGAATTTTGCGACGCAAACCAACTGCAGACTGTATACATGACTTTGTATAGAATGTACATGTATATTAGAGCTACACGTAGATAGACAATTTACAAATATACCTTATGAACAGCAGTTATGATACCCCCCCCCCCCCCTTTCAGTCGCACAAATACTATTTAAATACCAAATAACTTCTCTTTCCACTTGTGATATTTTCCCTGGCCAAAATCTGATCAGCACGGACTAAGTGTATCGACGTGCTAGACTGTACGGAGTAGTGACAGTGTGTTTACTATTGAGCTTTTATGGAGTTTATTTCATTTTTGTGATGCATATTTCAATAAATGGAATTCAGGGCGTATATTACTTGACTTGTGCACATCTTCGAACCGATGCAGTAACCTTATTACCAGGTACAGGTATATTTACAGTGTTCGAGGCGTTTTCTCGATATGCATCAATTGCATATAGGACCTGCAAATCAAAGACGTTGGTTGTTTTTTTTTCCATTCAAATGATAATAATTTCAAAATGTGTTTGCGGATTTCACTGCTTTTTATTTCAAGTTTATTCTGCATAAATTGGCGCGCTGTAAAAAAAACGTACACGTTCAACTAAATTTCTCTTTCAAAATTGCATTTCTTTTCTTTTTCTTTTTTACTTTTGATTCAAATCAATAATCATTCAAAAATATGATAATAATGTTGTTTATTGTGGTTTTGAAATGTCTTGATCACCTCATGTGTTCTCATATTCTTTACCATCGGAGATGTGCACAAGTCGATACCCAAACCAAAAAATCATTCAAGTGTAACGAGCGCATTGGGGTATATATCGTTACAATGAGACAAGGTCACCCCTACTAATGTGTTCGGAACCTTTTATTTCACGGTGTTCTGCAAATTATAAAACCCGATGAGTTAAGAGTAGCTCTGATAGTGGCTCTGGCGAGAGTTAGCGAGACTTCAGCGAGATGGGGTAAATTATTCACGGAAATGTGGCTAGGAAGTGACTAGCACGTGGAGACATGGTAAACAGAAAAGTTATGTTGCGTTTTAGTTTTCATCCCCCTATAAAATCATTCTGTAGAAATATACTTCAATCGATCTTGCTTGAATTCATTCAAGTTTAAGTCATAAATATTCTCTATGATACAATTTTCTGCTTTCATGAATTAAAATTTCTCTTTGGACGAATATTTTGCATGGGAACCGGGACTACATTTTTGGCATCAGATTAGCAAATGAGGCACCAATGTGACTTTAACTGACAAATCAGATGAATGAGAATTGCATTGTGGGTTACTATAGGAATACTACAGGAATTTTACTCTCGATAAATTCCTTTATTGTACTATATCGGTCAATACAATTGTCAGGTGGATTCCCTGGCCAACACGCGTGATCACGAGTATAGTTATGTAAAAATGTTTTGTTCATTTAAATGCATACGAAAAGCACTGCTCGTTTTCCTTACCCTTGAAGTGCTGGTGTTCTGAACATGACACTAACTACGTATATATTTTATAAAGCATATTTTTCTCTAGTTAACAACAAATTAAAAACGCCCTTAATATTTTTAATAGTTTCTAATGTTTGCATTTTGTTCATAAGAACATTTTAATTTTGCACTCCATTGACATGATCATAGAATGACCTGAACCACGTGTTCGAAGTAACATGTAAACATGTATTTGGCGTAAACGTATTCAATGAACAATTGGTCAGTCGCTCGTGGTAAGATCCTCTGTGCGCATTAATAGCAATAGCCATATAAGGCAAACAAAGGTTTGTCAGTGTATATGATCTTACACATTTTTTAACCATCGTATTGGTCTCTAGTGAGCTGTAATTTTTGCAGTAAACTATGATAAGATGTATTAATTGTTATTTACCCCCCCCCCCCACTCTTTAAGCCACCCATTTCTGTTGAAAATCATGAAAGTCTTTTAGAAAGGTGTGGAAACACATTTTTCACATGGCATGTTTTTAGATGAAACAGACTATAATAGCAATTTCCTGTTCACGGTCAATTTTATTTATAAATCCGGTTCTGCCCTATAACATTTGAATAGGTTAACCTAAACCACGTGTCTTGAATTTAAATCACAATAACATTAGTAGGGGTGAAGGTATCTGAAAGAAATATGGCGGAATACGGTTATAGTTGGTATGAAACAAGTCGTACATAGATGAAAATGTTGCGTTTTTAAGAATTCATGTCAGATTTAAGCCTTAAATCAAGAGTCTCAGCATTACTGCCACGCTCAACAAATTAGACTGTACGGAATCCCATTCACTGCAGCGTTCTTCTCTCCACGTCAAATGCTTCTTATGCCAGTAAGCCAAATAGTGATTCTGATAAGCTTTGTCAAATCGGTCCAGTTTGGTTTCTAATATTGCTATCATTGTGTAAAGCAGATACAACGCAGCATCGTGGGTCATTGTAAGAATACTCTGTAGTGCTTCTTTGTGCGTTTTCACACTATACATGTCATTTAACTTAGAATAACATAAAGCCTTCAGAAATATTGAATAGGGTTGAGGAAGAAAAGAAATAAATGCAGATGTATCTTTCAATAGAAGAATTTCAAACGCCATTTCCTTTGGATAAATTGGCATCGTCCGAAACACTTCAAAATCGTACGATACTGCCATTGACGCTTTTTTAATTCTTGATAAATTACCATTACAGAAATTGGTAATGTATTTTTCATCCATTTCATCTGGATATCTCGAGCTTACATAAAGAACACCACGATTATCATCTATAAATGCTTCATATTGTCGGATAATTTTCAAAGCGTCGCGATAGTTTCCCATACAGTAAAAAGCTGTTGCTAAAGTTAGCCTTCCTCTACTTATATCTGCTGAATTTGTAAGTTTCATCAAGTTAAGTGCCCGTCTAATTTGTCTGTACCGGAAACGTGCACATCTACGGGTGTCATTCAGACCCTTATAAAAGAAGATCATAGCTATGAGTTGTAGAATTTTATACATGTAGAGCGTAACGGTATCATGCATTAAGGTATCAAGTTGCGATCCTTCTTCAAGTAAAAGGCCCACTGCATTGAAAAACTCCCTATCAAGATCTCTGAAGTTTGGGTGACCCTGAACGATGCATTCTAAATGAGCAAAAAATGCTCTATCTTCGATATCTTCTCTTGGTGTATTAGAATCATTCCGTGTTTGAGTACTCAATAGTTTGAAATCCTCGTCCGGGTCAGTGAAATAAGATTCGCAGGGGGCCTCTAGAATTCACTGCTTGAAAAAACACCTTTACAAAACTTTACTTGAGAAGTAAATTTCATTAAAGGTGCTCCAAAAAGCAAGGTCATCTTTGTATTAACTTTACAAAAAGTAAAGGTGAAAAGGTAACCTTTACTTACACGAAAAGATAATTAAATATAACCTTTCACCTTTAATGCCATATTAAAGTTCATTAAATATACATATTTTATAAAAGTCTTATTTAAATGCTGACTATTGTTTAATACACTTATACTTTAAATTTTCACAGTTAGTTTAAAGAATCTAATCTAGTCAGTACCCAGAATTTTAAGACAAATGTCAAAGATATTTTTTTAATTATCTTGTATCCATTTCCAGTTGAAATTAGTATTAGAAATGGTCATCTACAGAATCAAACACTCGACTCATCATTTTTTGACAGACTACACCTCAAATAATACAACAACTATGCTGTAAGCCAGGTTAGCTTAGTTGGAGCAGCTGGCGTTTATTTTGATACATATTTTACATACATTACATTGAATGTGAAACAATAAAGCACTGGAATGCATTTGTAAAATATTTTACTTGTAATAAATTATACCCCTATCACAGACATTAAAAACCGCCCAGGCAAAAACCATAGATGGTTAACTATGGAAAACCTGTGTCCGTCGCTATGTAAATAATGTCTCAAGGGAGAATGCCGGACGTGCATTCAGTGCAATAGTTAAAAATGCACGAACACCCTATAATATTTGCATGTATGAAAAAATCCAAATTAAAATACATTTCAACAGTTTTGTTATTTCCATTACCAGTATATTTATACAAATATGATATATATATTATATAAAAAGCAAAAAAAAAAATGTGTGTGTATTGAAGAGCACTGGCTTAGAATGATTTGAACACCTTACTGAATACTCATTTCTCATTGGCCTTCCTTTGGCCACGCCCACATATACAACCAAAACCATTAATATACGTTCCTCTCATACAATGTGTTCCCCCTCTACTACGAAACACGTGAAAAAAATATTATCTGCACCAGGATTGCCTACAACTCTCTGGATTGGATGGCATAGATTTTTTATATGTACATTGATATTAATGATATATTAATTAATAATATAACAATGGGAAAAATTGGCATATTGATAATTTTCATTTTCCAAACAAAAATGATCTAAAATATTCTGTATTTTGGCTTTGTATAATGTGAAAAAAATTACATAAAAGGCTATTTGATTTGCGCTTATATACAGGCTAATAACATCTTCAACTTGTAATGCAAAATGATGCATTTTACATATTCACAAACACAAAAAATGGTGAAAAATCTATTAGAATATACGTGAGGATGCAGTTTGCAAAATGCATGAGATCATGTATGAGTCCAGCTTCACCCAGTGAGCCTGTCTGTGCTTGACTTAGTTTAGATTATGTTTTTATGTCTGTGGTATATGTTAGTGTGTTTGCATATGTGTCCAGCTTCACACATTTTCATGCATGTGCTCGACTTCACACACCTTGGAAAATATGTAATAGGTTGTGGCAGATGCATGTGTATTTGTGTATGTGTCCAGCTTCACACATTTTCATGTATGTGCTCGACTTCACACACCTTGGAAAATATGTAATAGGTTGTGGCAGATGCATGTGTATTTGTGTATGTGTCCAGCTTCACACATTTTCATGTATGTGCTCGACTTCACACACCTTGGAAAATATGTAATAGGTTATGGTAGATGCATGTTTGCATGTATCCAGATATACGCATTTTCATGTGTGTGCTCGATTTACATGTCATCAATGTAAAATATGTAAACATGGTGGTGTAAAACGTTTACAAGTGTATGATGCACACAGAGAAAAAAAAGTTCTGTGTGTTTTGTTCTGCAAGAGTGATCGTATAAATAAACTACAATTGTGTCCTGTTGAGAAATTGACAATCATAATAAGTAACATATTCATTTTACATAACAGTACTGAAAATTACACATCCAGTTTAGATTACTGTACTGAAAATTAAATTTATGCAAAAACTCTCTGGTTGAATAACATTCAAAATCATGAATGCTTGCATGTTCATCTATAAATCTCCAAGATATTTCCTAGTTAGTTTGTAGCGCCGCACCGAGCAGTCTTACAACACATTTCATAATGTCAGTTTGCATGAATAAATTAATTTATCCTTGTTCCTCATATCTTGAAAATAGATGCCGAAATTCTAGTCTACAGTTTAATTACACAGCACATCACAAATAGAAACATTCAGGAAAAATAATTCACAAAAAATAAAATCCAAGTAAAACAATCACATGTACATATAAATCCAAGAAATATTACGTAATAGTCCAAGTAAGTGAGTAACTTTATCTATCTCTAACAGTTCTATCTACTAAGTCTTCTATATTTCCATCTTCCTATCTTATTTTAAAATTCTGTCGCGCTATATATATACTCAAGATCCGTTCCTGACGATCAGGAGCACATTACAAGATCCTTAAGATCAGGAGTCAATACACAAGTCATTACGATCATCAGGGGGTTAGATAAGAGGGGGCGATTAATATACAGATAAGATTTATAGCATAAGTGTAGATGATAATGTGTGAACAATTAAGTAATGAAGAGTGATTTACAGAAAAGATATTTTAAATTGTTACAAGTTTACATATTCTTGATCATATCATTGATAAGCATATATATTCTTGATCATGACATCTGCATTGGATTCCCCTCTCTGACATCTTCTCTTGTTCACCGATTAGTTCAACAGTCATCTAGGTACTCAGGTGTTGTACAAGTCCTAATAATAAAATAATAATCATTTTCAAAATTATAAAGAAAAACAATACAATTTTTAAAGAGGTTTTCATTACTTGTATTGAAATTAAAGCACAAGCTTTTGAAGACATACTTAAGTAAATTAAAACATGTATAACTAAACATAATGGAAATTTAAACAATGCGACTCAATGTCAAACATATGATAGTGATACATCTGTAATATCCATGAAACTTACTGAGATACTTAAAATGTTTGTGGCGTGCTTTCACTAAGCTAAGCAATATATAAACATTTCTTGATTACACGTTGAAGTCCAAGGCTTAAAAAAAAATAAGTTTGTTTCCTGTAACATTCCCAAAAAATCAAGAGTCGGTAGGTCGGAATTTTTTTTTTTTGCTTATGAATGGTGAAACATCCCCAGACTGAAAATACCAGGTGTTATATTTACAGTGGACACCCAACATGGCATCCAAAATGGCTGCCTAGCGGCAGAAAACAAACTTCAGAAAGTTGTAGGGGGAAACTGTTGTTACAATAATGATTACTCTTTATATTTAAGGTAAATGTAAACTAGGTTGACATATTTTATGTCTCAAATTAAGCTACAAGCTATTGTTAACTTTTAATTTAACAAATGGAATCAGCTGATTTATCAAAAAAAGTTTTGCCATTTGTCAGCTAGGGAAAAAAAATCCACCCAGGGATAATTTGAATGGGTCGGTCGGGTTACAGGAAACAAACATATTTTTTTTAGGCCCAATCCTCACCTGACTTGCACATTCATATGGATTGGTTCTATGCTGATGATCCCTTTCAACAATCTTCATCACAACATCTGAAAGTCACCCATCTTCAAAATTAAATCTGTCGCTCACCTCAAATGTATATAGACTCCCTGTACAAATGCATGGAAAATAAAATTTTGAATAAAAAATGAATTATCTCTTCACCATACCCGGCCTCTTTAAAAAACGTGAGAAAATAATTTAAATACTTTTCTTTAGATAAAATCATATAGAGAGTATCCAGCAATGGTGAAAAAAAGTTATCTCTAGAATTTTACATTTATACTGAATGAAAAATGCAGTGTTCCCTCTACTTAAAAAAACTCAAAAGACATTACCTAAAATGGAAATAAGGTACAACTGTGACTGGTGTCTCAGGCACAACCAATAAACACAAGACCTTTCCATCCTTAGCAGCATGCATTACCTCCACATTCCTTGTTTCTACAAAAAATATACAATGAAAATTAAAAAAACTGAGAGTGAAGAGTGTTACATGTACTTGGGGGGGACAGAGGAAGGAATTTTGAAGTCAGATTAACTATATTTCTGCCAGTGTTGGGACGGATAAATTTCCATAATAAAATGAAACGAATTATTCGTAACAAATAAGACACATGTATTACCTTGCAGTCACCATTGCACATTATGTATAAACATCTCTTGACTACACGTTGAAGTCCAATCCTCACCTGACTTGCACATTCATATGGATTGGTTCTATTCTGATAATCCCTTTCAACAATCTTCATCACAACATCTGAAAGTCACCCATCTTCAAAATTAAATCTGCCGCTCACCTCAAATGTATATAGACTCCCTGTACAAATGCATGGAAATAAAATTTTGAATAAAAAATGAATTATCTCTTCACCATACCCGGCCTCTTTAAAAAATGTGAGAAAATAATTTAAATACTTTTCTTTAGATAAAATCATGTAGTGAGTATCCAGCAATGGTGAAAAAAGTTATCTCTAGAATTTTACATTTATATTGAATGAAAAATGCAGTTTTCCCTCTACTTAAAAAAACTCAAAAGACATTACCTAAAATGGAAATAAGGTACAACTGTGACTGGTGACTCAGGCACAACCAATACACACAAGACCTTTCCATCCTTAGCAGCATGCATTAGCTCCATATTCCTTGTTTCTACAAAAAATATACAATGAAAATTAAAAAAACTGAGAGTGAAGAGTGTTACATGTACTTGGGGGGACAGAGGAAGGAATTTTGAAGTCAAGATTAATTATATTTCTGCCAGTGTTGGGACGGATAAATTTCCATGATAAAATGAAACGAATTATTCGCAACAAATAAGACACATGTATTACCTTGCAGTCACCGTCGCACATAATGTATACATACAACTGACAACATCCCAAATCCCTTTCTTTGTTGTTTACTTGGCGGAATTTTCGTTTCCTTTTTAGACTGGTTCCCATACATTGTCGTGAATAAGTCCTACGTTTATTGGTTTTGTTTACAAGCTTCAATATCAATAAAATCTCCCGCACATTTACAGCCTGTATTGTAAACTACTAAAACATACTTTACAAAGAATTTTCAGCTCAGTATTATGTTATCCTCTTCATTCAAGTAATATGTAAACTCTTCTCGAATATACAACGAACGATCTACTCTGATAAGTAACCCAAATATGGCACTGTGTATTCGGTTGAATAGCCAATCATTTCAAATCAAGTGGAGCGGGTCTGCATCGCTATTTTGACGAAGTTTGCAACCTGTGGTATTTTTTTTGAAACCTCATCTACAGTAGTGTGACATAAATGAGTTCGCAAAATGGCCGCCGTCATCGTAAGTATTTATAAAGGGCGGTGAATCAGTTGCTGAATTAACGTAATCGCTTCTCTTAAAGGAAAAAAATATTTAATTGAAATTTAGGTACGACTTAACTAAATCTGTCATTGTTGTAAATTTGGATTATTCCCCTTTGATAAACAATTTATCGTCTGCTTGGAGATATGGCTCCCCATGGTCGAGAATTGACGAGGGATCTAAAAGAAATAATCATTCAGATGTCAAATGAAGGTCTGTCAAGCTATAAAATTGAGAATCTAACCGGAATTAACAGTCGTACTATCCAAAAATTTCTCAAACGTGTGAGGGAAAGGGGTAACATAGAAAATTTACCGAGAAGTGGGGTGAAACGAAAAACTTCACAGCGAGATGACAGGGTTCTATTCCGAAGCATTAAAATCAACCGTCGTCAGACTTTAAAAGATATAACATCCAGATTTAATGCCAGGACAGGATCTAATGTGTCTCTCAGAACAGTTCACAGGCGATTATCAGAGGAAGGTTACAAAAGGTGTGTAGTTTCTAAGAAAACAACTGTTTCACGCGTGAATAGAGAGAAGAGAACCCGATTTTGTCGACAGAAATTGCACTGGACAGTCAACAATCATTGGTCATCCATAATATTCAGTGATGAGACTAAGATAGTAATTGGAAATAACGATAAAGTTCATGTCTGGAGGAAGAGTGAGGAAAGAATACGTCCTGAATGTGTCGGGTTACGTGGTGATTGGGAAACAAACTGTCGGGCCTCCCTCATGTTTTGGGGTTGCATATGTTATAATGGAGTTGGTACCTTAAAAACTGTGGATGGGAACATGAATAGCGAGAAATATATTTCAATTCTTGATGAGTGTCTTTGGCCTGTGATCGTTCGTCATTTCCCAAACCGGCGCTGGATTTTCCAAGAAGACAATGCCCCGTGTCATGTCTCCGCTTTCTCAAATCGTTGGAAACAAGACAACAACGTTAATACTCTGCCATGGCCCCCACAAAGTCCTGATCTCAATATTATAGAAAACGTCTGGAGAGTGCTCAAAATCCGTGTACAAAGGAGGACACATGAGATCAGAAACGCGAATGATCTGGAGCGAATCGTCCATGAAATATGGAGTAGCCTCCCTTTGCACTATATTCAGAGTTTATATGCAAGCATTCCTAGGAGAATTCGAAGTGTTCTTCGCTCTAGAGGCTATATAACAAAGTACTAACACAAAAAGGTAAGTGGTAATATTATTTTATTGATAGAAATTAGATTTTGTATACCGCAAGCGCACCGCACGCATGAATGACGGCGGCCATTTTGCGAACTCATTTATGTCACACTACTGTAGATTTAAGGAGATTCTTGTCTTGACAACTGCTCGAACTCCCGGATTGGCATGCACTGCAGGTTTGTTTACGATTTTCAGCCATTTTCACTTTCAGCATAGATCAGTACATTGTGCATACATGTAGTGAAACAATGAAAGTCAGGCAAAACTTCACTGTATATGTTATTTACTGCCAGAATGTTAGATTAGTATTTTGATAATTTGGGGATTAAGTGTTTATGGGTTTCAGTTTATTCTGTAAAGGTGTATGTCTCTGGAATATTAAACAAGACAAAGAAAAACAATTCTGGAGTGGGACTAAAATGAGTAGTTAAAACCAAGCCGGGCCGGGAATTTGAAACTGAAACCGGGTTTTTGCTAATTACTGAGAATATACACAATCAGTTGTCATAAAACTTAGTTACAGATGTATTTATGCCTTGGCTGAGAGTTTAAACTCCGAAATTGACAAATAAGTTTATTTTATTTATAACATTTTGTATTTTAATTGTGTCCATTTTGTTAAAATACAGGTTGAGTGAAATCAGTATGCAGATTGTTGAAGGGAAAACATCAAGACGGGGTGAGGAAGACGACAAAACATGATTGAGGATCCCAAAGTTCTTTGGTACAAGCACATTTTTAAAAAATCAAATAATAAGTATCGTGAAATATTAGTTAAACAAACATTTACATTATTTAGTGCTTGACTTGCTCGGGAGTCATTATTGTCTAATATATTCATATAAAATGTTCAATTTCTTTTGTATAGGCTCAAGCTACTCAGCCTACCATGAGAAAATTAAAAGATCTGCCATGAAGAAGAGGCGGGTTCTCAAGTTTCATATTATAGATGGCAAGTATTGTTTAGATTTAATTTTAAAGTTTTCTTGATAAAAAAAAGGGTGTTTGACAGTTCATAGCTATTAACTGTGATTGCATTGTGTATGAATTTTCAAAATCAATTCATTCTTTGGTGACCATGTGCTTCAAACTCATAATTTTTAATAAAAATATTGACTATATATTTGTCCAGGTGTATAAAATGTTTAATCACTGTATGAATTCTATTTCAGCATGATTGTCATCTTCAATTTGAGGGACTCTCACCTAAAGTCCTTTAACTGTTCCATATCAGGAAAAAGTTCATGAGCAGAAACATGCTATTTGGGAAAAAGGTACATATATCCTAAACCATAACTTGAGTATGATTCTGTACACATGTACAGCTAAGCTAAATATGTAGCACTATTTTGTTCTTTTTGTAAACTGACTACTGAGTATTCAGGAAAACCTATCATTTCTTTATGTTTCAGGGATTTATTCTTTGATTGTGATAAGTACCCTTGAAAAGTACATAATTCTCAAATTGTAATTTTAGGCATTAGGCTTTTTGTGATAAGGGATACATGACCTAACCCATTGATTCTTCATATAATATGTCAATAATAAGAGGTCCACTCATCATTATTTAGTTGTCTTTAATTTATGTTTTCAATAAAATGACAAACAATTATCCCCTTAATCTATGTGTTTCACCTTGCATACCCCTTAAAACTGAAAAGATAATCCCCTAATTAATTGCCCCATGCTATAAGCTACCTGCACCTGGACGACTCCGTGCGTTCAAGCGTGAAGTGATTTCCTGTGGCTAATTAACCATGTTAACACCTAAATAAACAATGAAACTTATCTGTGTGCATTGAATAAACAAGTCTGATATTGTTATCCCAATTGACAAAATTCAGCGGTATAGGGAAACTTATAAAATCGGAAATTTTGGGTGAATTTTTACAAATCGGGAAATTAGGTCAATTATTCTCTCCCGATCGGGAAGGCGGGATAAAAGGGTAAAATCGGGAGAATCCCGCCTAAATCGGGAAAGTTGGCATGTATGTTAAATTAATACAATTTTTATTTTTAAGGTTAAAGGTCATGTATGAACTTTTTATTTATTAATTAGGTTGTGAATTGTTTTTAGTTTTATTAATCATGGTATTGTGAATTCTGATAACAGATGCCTTTGAAAATATTCATACTTATGCATAGCACTGAAAATATACTTATAGATTTTTTTTTCTTTTAGGAAAAGCATTAGAAGAATGCCTGCATGGGAAGAAAAGTTTTGGACTCTGGAAAGGGAGATGTGACAAATACATTTTGACAGTTATTGATTTCCACTGTAATCAATATCCACAAGAAAGAGGAACGTAGTAGTTTTATGTTGATTCACAACTTTAAATTCAAGAATGTACAGTTGGTTTTATTATAAAACATGTCACTTACGAAAAACATTTTCGTGAAATGTACTCTGTCTTCGATACTTATTTATGTGTATGTGACTTGCAGGATAGGATGTGGGCAACATATACTGTCAAGAATCTTGATGTTGATCTTATGTTTGTAAAAAAAAATTGTAATAAACAAAGTTAAAGTCAACTTTTTGTTACTTTGTGTATATTAATTATGATGTCCAGACTTCCGCAGTATCGACTTGGAAGAAAAATCTTATTTATAAATTGCATAAGGCTTTATTCACTAGAATTGAAAACAGAAATTATTAACTTTTGTGGTAATTAAAGATGGTATTTAATTAAATTTAAGATCTGTAATTATCAGATTTAATATATCCTAAATATGGTGTTTAATGGTTGTAAATATTAACTTTACTTTTTTGTAAAGTCAAGACAATGTGGGACATTACATCATATTTAAGTGCATGTAAAGTTAATGTAAAGGTTACCTTTTCCAACTTTGACTTTTTTCAGAAAAGCCAATTAAAGGCATTGTAAATAATAAATTTACATTATCTTTACTTGTTTTGTAAAGCCAAATTTTCATGCAGTGATTTGTAGTCTTACTCTTTGCAGGGCTTCTTTCAAGTCGTTTAAGGATGGACAGGTCAAGAGGCACCTCCAACCCTCTCCATACAACTCTGACAAATGAATAAAAAGCGATTCACGCTCCACTTCATCTAACTTGCCAAGAAACATGTTGTTTTCTCTGACAAAATAGTTAGGACAATATCCATTAGAAACCCAGGAAATAAGTCGTTTGAAGCACATTTCTATACAGGAAACTAATCGTTCTTGTTTCCACCATTCCTTTGGTGTTTCTTCAATACACCAAAATAAAAGCGTTTTCATAAAATACGAACACAAAACGTTTCGGGTCTCCCGGAATGCCTCTTTGACTAAAAGTTTGAATATGCCATAAACCAAAAACTGTGTATCATTAAATGTATAAACTAATCGCTTTTCTGCGACTGAAAATGAAAATCGCCAAGACATTGGGTCAAAACACCAAAGT